TATAAGTGTTCATATCCTTTTGAGGAAACAAAGTACTGCCTTTCATTTCTCTTGGCCGTAGGGGTAAAACAGACTGGAGTCTGCCACAAGGTCTATATGGTGTCAGCGATGGTCTTAAGTAATGGCAGGGCAATGCCAGTTGGCCCGGAGAGGGCAAGGATGTCTACCACGGGGTCAGCATCCTCTCCTCCTCTGCCTGGATCCCCAGGTTCTGGGCCACTTGTCGCAGCAGCTGCTGTAGGACCCTGTTGTCTTCCAAGACTGGGGCTGTCAATGTCCCTGCCATGGTCTCATCTGGGGAGGATGAGGAGGAAACGGGCCCTGCTCACTCCCCTCAGTGCCTGGGGGGACACGTGGCAACTCGTATTGCTGCACCGCCACGTCAGCAGCATGTGCTGCCGGGGTCGCCGGAACTGAGATTGTCGTTGCCGATGTTGTCAGTGCCAAGATCACCGATACCAGTGGCGTTGAGGTCACCGATGCCAGCGGTGTCAGCACTGCAGGTGAAGAGAGGGGCATTGGTGCCACCGATGCCTGCAGAGGAACGAAGGAAGCAGACGCTACCAATGCAGATCTGGACCTTAAGCCCTGGTTTTGTCCCTGGCCTTTATGATATGCCCAGGTCGTCGGGAAGGGCCATCAAGTCGGGGGTTTCCACTGGGGTGGCCACGGTGCCGGATAGGGCTGGCAGTCACGCTGGGACCTTCTGTTCCTGGTCCTATCAGAGTGGTAGGATTCTGCCTCCGACTCTGAGGTCTCCGAGAAAGAGGACCACAGAGGAGCGGTGCCCTGTGGTGCCAGTGAGTGGTGCTGGGAACGGGGGGACCAGTGCGGTTCCCCCACGTGGGTGGACCATGCCGGGGAAAGGTGTGCTGGAGATGGAGATTGGCGTGCCATCATCGCTGGCTTGCCCCTTGATGGGATCAGAGGACAGGCTGTCACCAGTGACTTGTCCCTCCTCTATGGGGAGGATGGCACCGTGAGGCGCATAAGGTTCCGAGTTACCTTGAACGCCTCAAACGTAGAGGGGAGCTGGAGCTCTCTGCCATGGCAGTCCGGAGAGTGGTGAGGGTTCGGACTCAACCGGACCCCCAAGGGGGCAGGAGTCAACAAGACCCTGAGAGGCAGAGGGGCCAAGGTGATGTGGCCCGGTTCGAGTCTCCCTGCTGCAGGCTCCTTGGACTTAGAAGGGGGAAAGCAACCCGTCTCTGGCCTTTTCTTTTTCTGGGGCACCAGGGACTGAGACCGGTGCCTCACAGAAGTTTGTCTATGGGCAGAGCCATGGCGGTGCTGCGACTCCTTGGAGTCCTTTCTCGGAAAAGGCTCACGCATCATCAGTGCCGGCGCACTGCTATGAGGAAGTGCTGGGCGTGGGTTCTGCTGACCCCAGGTCAGATTGTGTCCGGAATGCAGCCTCCACGAGAAGGATCTTGAGCTTTTGCTCCCAGTCTTTTAAGGTCCTAGGGCAAAATCCTTTGCAAATTCTGCACCTCTCCTTCGGGTGGCTCCCCCCGAGACACCGCAGACAGGAAGAGTGCGGGTCACTCTTAGGCATAAATTTTCCACAGTCCTTGCAGAGTTTGAACCCTGGGAACTGGGACATACCCCGGTGCTGGGGTTAAGCGTTGGTGTGGGGTGGTAGACCCCAAAAGGAAATTTATGTTCTAACTACTAATACTAAATTAACACTAGTAAACTACTGAGAACTAACTATAAACACTAAGAGTGGACACTGCCCAAACGCGCTTGCAAAGCAAGAGCAACCGGTTGTTCCAGCTAGCCGTCACTGGCAGTAAGAAGGAACTGAGGGGGTGGTGGGTCGGCAGGGCTCTATATTGAGCACCATGAAGGCATGACTCCAGGGGGTGGCCAGGCCCACCGAACGGATGCTGCTAGGGGAAAAGTTTTCTGGCTGCTGTGCACGTGTGAGCACACCTGATTGGAATTGACATGAACAACCACTCGAAGAAGAAGGGGAAATTGCTATCCATGCCCTGCTAAATTCTGCTTTATATTCTGTAACAAGTTTCCTTTAATCTCCCAGCAGGCATACAAGCAGCCTTGTCGCAGTGATAACAGAGAGCGAGAGAGAGTGTGCTCAAAACATGCCAACCCCTTCGCTTTACTGCACAGTCACTGAAGTCTTAATGCAGTGCTTTGAGTTTAAGCTACTTTATCTTCAGTTGATTACCATTTGCCCTGCATTATTATTTCCCTAACATGTGTTCCATCCCCAGCTTGCCTGAATTTAACGTTACTCTCGTTATACCCAACAGTATGCTTTAGAAGCCGTTCCTCCAGAAAGCCTATAACTAGACTAATCAGATACTGGAGCAAAGTGAATTCTCATTATTAACCCCATCAATGCAAGAATTCAGAATCTCTGTTGTACATCGCCTAGAGAAAATGGCACTCAAACAGCTGCAGTCATTAATGAGTTTTAATCCTGAGGATGAGGAGTAAAACAGTAGAGCAGATTATGTTCCCCGTGTGTCAGGAATGTAGTAGTATCACCTAAGAAATTACTTGCATGTCCAGATATAGCATTTTCAAGGCCTTTAAGTATCTTCCAGGGGTATATTTCAGAAAAAGGAAATGTAACATCTTTGGTTGAATTGTAGCATATTTTGTTTATATGTGCAAAGCACAGTTGATGTTATCACTTTTATGTACAGAGGAATAAGAGAAATATAGCTTTTTTTTTTTTTTTTTTTTTTTTTAAAACAACCTAAGTAGACCTCTCTGCTCCTTGTAGGGCTGCTTCCGTTTACTGCAGAGAAGCTCTGTGGTTGGTCCTTTGGGATCAGAAGAACCCATTTGTTTGATTAAATTGGTTTTAAATAACCACTTAAGTCTAGTGTCGAACCAGGACTGGAATACCTAAGGAGGCTGCATTTCTGACTTCTTGTTAGCCAGTTTGGTGAGACAGAAGTTTACTTTTGTTGCCGGACTGGTATAGCTCATGGAAGAATAACCACCGGTTTTGAGGTATGTCTGCCCTTGTCCTGAATTTGGTATTCTCAGTTGTGACCCACGGAGGCACGGTGACAATCACTAATCAAGGAAAGGAGATTCTGGCAGTCAGAAACAAAATCCTTTTGGAAAAAAATATGCAAAATGCTAAGATGACAAACTCTATAACCCCAGAGGAAGCAGAATGCAGAGTAATTATTTATATTCTTAGAAGTGGCTATAGGCTACCAATATTTTTTTAATTCAGGTCATTTTTATGCTAGAAATATGTGTACTACAGTATATCTTCAAATGGGCTATGTTGTCTTTGGCTCCTGAAATGTCTGTTCTTAGGCCACTAAAACACAAAAGCAGAGACCTAACTAGATATTTTAAGACTATCTTTATCCCAGTTAGGAAAGGTTGCTTCATCAAATATCTTCTCCTGTCCTGGATTCTGTTCTGGAGCAGCAGGAATCATAGGATCATTTGGATTAGAAAGGAGTGTGTCATATAATCAATCCTCTGCAATGTGAAGAATATACATTACAAGGGAACGGATTACAGTATGACCCAGTAGAGCAGTGTTTCTGAACCTGAGGGTCACGGAATAGGTTTGGGGTGGGATGCGGGTCGCAAGCAGGGCCAGGATTAGGGGGTCGGAAGCAGGGAAATTGCCTGGGGCCCTGCGTCACAGGGGACCCCGGGAAGCTAATATACATGTTTCAGCCCCGAGCCGCACAGGACAGCTGAAGCCCCATGCCGCACGGGGCAGCTGAAGCCCAAAGCCCACAGCCTAAGGTGGGGGGGTCACAAGATTTTCTAGTAGGGAGGTCACACTTTAATTTATTTATTTATTCCAAATGGGGTCGCCAGCACAAAAAGGTTGAGGAAACAATGCACTAGAAGGTCTCCTCCATTTGTGTTCAACTCCAGTATTTGGGTCATGAAAAAAATCAAAATAATTAATAATAAACCACAACAATAAATGTTTACTATTTCAAACCTGGATGGGCCAGCTTAAGTATGGAATAAAAAGCCTTTGCAGAAAATAGTTTCCATTTAAGACAGGATAATCTATTACTATGCCAAAGGTATATTCACAGAGGAATATACAACAAGTTACAGCAGAAATCACATTTTAAAAGGTCTCAATTTCATATTTGACAGGTTGCTAGTAATTTATAATGTTGTGCCCAACATGTGCTAGGCTCTTTCCAGTTAGAGGAAGATACAGTATCTGCCAATCCACATTCCCTGAAAGAATACAAAGTAAGGCTTTGTCTGAGCTAGGACTAAGATGCAGGGAAACACCTTTAGCTTAATTTTAGCTGGTCAAGTTATAGCCGAGGTTCCTGAGAATTCCTGTTTTAAAATTGTTTCTAGGGCCTATCCACTGTTATAATAGGCATGTAGTAGCACAAATGCAACACATCAGAAGAGTAAGAAAATTAGACCAGCAGACTCTGTAGAAAATATTCCCAATTGTTCAATAACTGTTTTGTTCTGAATTCTAAAGGTTATCATACTTAAATTGCATCGACCTTTAGAGATTTTTCAGAGACAAAGAGCTTTAACAGGCCCCTTATTTGACCATTTCATCAAAGTAAGAGCAAAAGTCCCTAAAGACAAATACTTTCATGAACCATGTGTGTTGAAAATGGCAGAAATGCATCCAAGTAGCATTAAACGATCCCTTATTGCTAAAGTAACATTTCAATTGAATTAAGATTTTCAGATTGTTTGATGTGTTAACATTTAGTAGTCTCATACAACAAATGCACGCACGCACACACACACAAACACACACACACCCTTATGCAAATTCCCCCATGCAAACTCCTGTGTGGGAATTACAAGGTACAATTACTAGATTACATAGCCTGTTTTTATATTTGCTATCATCTATTTTCTTCCTATATGTGACAAAATGTGCAGCAAGTGAAAACGTTTGTATGTTTAAAAATACATAAACAAATATATAACACATTAAAGGAAAAAGTAAATTCCATATGTTAATAAAAAGCAGTTAAATATTTAGTAGCTACCTGAAGCTGCTGTTCTTTGAACATATCTGGATGTGGAGCACTGAGAATATCATCTGCCAACTGTGCCTGGCTATCAATATTAACTGGGGTTGTAGCTTTGCTACACAAAAACTTGCTGAAGATCTCCCGAGCTCTGTAAGAAAGCTACAAAACAGAAATCTTATCAGCATTAATTTATTTTTACAAAACAAGACATAAGAACATAATAATGACCATGTTGGTCAGACCAATGTTCCATCTAGCTCAATACCCTGTCTTCCGACAGCGGCAGATGCCAGATGATTCAGAGGGATCAAACAGAACAGGACACTTATTCAAGTGACCCAGTCCCAGCTTCTTGCAGTCAGATGTTTAGGGACGTCCAGAGCACGGGGTACCATCCCTGACCATCTTGGCTAGTAGCCATTGCTGCACCTATCCTCCATGAACTTATCTAATTCTTTTTTGAACCCACTTATACTTTTGGCCTTCACTACATTCCCTAGTCATAAGTTCCACAGGTTGACTGTGTGTTCTGTAAAGAACTACTTCCTTTTTTGCTTTAAACCTGCTGCCTATTAAATTTATTGTGTGATTCCTACTGCTTGTGTTATGTGAAGGGGTAAATAACGTTCCCCTATTTACTTTCTCCACACCATTCATGATTTTATAGACTTCTATCATATTACTCCTTAGTCGTCTCTTTTCTAAGCAGAACAGTCCCAGTCTTTAATTTCTCCTCATATGGAAGCAGTTCCATACCTTTAATAATTTTTGCTACCCTTTTCTCTACCTTTTCCAATTCTAATGTCTATTTTGAGATGGGGCAACTATAACTGGATGCAATATTCAAGGTGTGGGTGTACCATGGACTTTTATAGAGGCATTATGATCTTTTCTGTTTTATTATCAGTTCTTTTTCTATTGGTTCCTAACAGTCTGTTAGCTTTTTGGACTACCACTGCACATTAAGCAGATATTTTCAGAGAACTAGCCATGATACCTCCAAGATCTCTTTCTTGAGTGGTAAGTGCTAATTTAGACCGCATCATTTTGTATGTAGAGATGGGATATTTTCCAATGTGCATTATTTTACATATATCAACTTTGAATTTAATCTGCCATTTTGTTGCCCAGTCACCCAGTTTTGTGAAAGCCCTTTACACTTAGCTTTGGATCTAACTACACCTCTACCTCGATATAATGCTGTCCTCGGGAGCCAAAAAATCTTACCGCGTTATAGGTGAAACTGTGTTATATCGAACTTGCTTTGATCCACCGGAGTGCGCACCCCTCCTCCCCGGGAGCACTGCTTTACTGCGTTATATCCAAATTCGTGTTATATCGGGTCACGTTATATCGAGGTAGAGGTGTATCTTGAGTAATTAGGTATCGTTTCCAAACTTTGCCATCTCACTGTTCATCGCCTTTTCCAGATGATTTATGAATGTGTTGAACACCACAGATTCCAGTACAGATCCTTGGGGGACCCCGCTATTTACCTCTATTCTGAAAACTGACCATTTATTCCTACCTTTTAACCAGTTATTGATCCATGAGAGGATGTTCCCTCTTATCCCACGACTGTCTACTTTGCTTAAGAGCCTTTGGTGAGGGACCTTATCAAAGGCTTTCTGAGCTGTGTTGACTCTTCCCAAACATATTGTGTTCAGCTAGGTGTCTGATAATTCTGTTCTTTACTATAGTTTCAGCCGCTGGGTCTGGTACTGAAGTTAGGCGTACCTGCCTGTAATTGCCAGGATAGCCTCTGGAGCCTTTTCTAAAAATTGGTGTCACATTAGCTATCCGCCAGTTATCTAGTACAGAGGCTGATTTAAATGATAGGTTACATACCACAGTTAGTAGTTTTGCAATTTTATAGTTGAGTTGCTTCAGAACTATTGGATGTTAACCATCTGGTCCTAGTGACTTATTAGTGTTTAATTTATCCATTTGTCCCAAAACCTCCTCCATTGACACCTCAATCTGCAACAGTTCCTCAGATCTGTCACCTAAAAGGAATGGCTCAAGTGTGAGAATCTCCCTCACATTCTCTGCAGTGCAGACCAATGCAAAGAATTCATTTAACTTCTCCACAATAGCACTCTTCCTTGAGTACTCCTTTACCACCTCCATCAGCCAGTGGCCCTACTCACTAGTATGGTTCCTGCTTCTGATGTGTTTGTAACAATCCAAGTGTATGTTAAATATGCTATTTCTGTACACTCTTGTTACCAAATGAAAAAGAGAAGCAATTATGTATTTCAGTATATGGGGAACCTTAATTTGGTATCTAGAGAAAAGGAAGAAGCTTAGTTTTTAAATCTTTCAAATAAACATTGATGTCTTTTGCCCACCTACATTACTCCTTTTGTTTTCCTTTGTTGAGATTTAAAAATCTAGAAGCTACTCTTTATTGCAATTTTAGTAAACATCTCTTTTTGTAAATTTTTAGGTTGCCAAAATTTTTATTCCCTTTAACATTTTGTTTCAGGGCAGTTGCTAAGTAATTAAATGTTCCAATCAAGAGAATTTACAATAAAATTTAAAATATTCAAAGTGCAATAATAATAAATGTCAAGCCTGTCAAATGTTGCTTCAAAAGTATAATAAAAGCTTGTGACTTAGTGATTTTTTTTAAAAAAAAGCACAAAGACTTAAATTAGAGAAGGCAGTAAAATTTAACCATATACTTGAATATCTGCAGTAAAAAAAAAATCTTGATCTTTCTATTTTTTACTTGCTTATTTTATAAACAACTAAATTCTGAATACAATGAAAGGAAATTAAACTAAATCGGCTTCAGTGCCCTGAGGTGGTTTCAGAAAAAAAAAGGAAGTACTAGTGAAAGGCTTTTGACACAATCCCACATGATATTCTCATAAACCAACAAGAGAAATGTGATATAGCTTAAATTACTATAAGGTGAGTGTAACACTGATTTAAAGATACAGCATAGTTATCAATGGTTTGCTGGGGGGAATTAGTGGGGTCCTGGAGGGGACTGACCTACATCTGGTACTAGTCAATATTTTTATTAATGACCTGGATAATGGAGTGGTGAGTATGCTTTACAATTTTCTGATGATACCAAGCTGGGAGGGATTGAAAACCCTTGGGAGGAAAGGCTTAGAATTCAAAATGATCTTGATAAATTGAGGGATCAGTCTGAAATCAACAAGATGAAATTCAATAAAGACAAGTTCAAAGTACTGCACTTAAGATGGAAAAAAAAAAATCAAATGCACAACCACAAAATGGGGAATAACTGGCTAGGTGGTAGTACTGCCAAAAAGTATCTAGCGGTTAGAGTGAGTAGTCGCAAATTGAATATGAGTCAACATCGTGATGCAGCTGTGAAAAAAGCTAATATAATTCTGGGGTATTTTAATGGAAGTATCATATGTAAAACATGGGAGGTAACAGTCCTGCTCTACTTTGCACTGGTGAGGTCTCAGCCACAGTACTGTGTCCAGTTTTGGGTGACACACTTTAAGAAAGATGTTGACAAACTGGAGAGAGTCCAGAGGAGAGCAACCAAAATGAAAAAAAGGCTTAATAAATCTCACCTATGAGGAAAGGTTAAAAAAAACTTGGTATGTTTAGTCTTTAGAAAGGAAGACCGAGGGGAGAAATGATAACAGTCTTCAAATATGTTAAAGGGCAGTTATACAGAGGACAGTGCTCAAATGTTGTCCATATCCACTGAAGGTAGGACAAGAAGTAATCAACTTCATCAATGGAAAGGGAGATTTAGGTTAGATGTTACAAAAACTTTCTAGCTGTAACTATACTTATGCACTAAAATAGGCTTTCAAGGCAGATTATGGAATCCTCATCATTGGAGGTTTTTAAGAACAGGTTAGACCAGAAGAGAGCAAACTACAGTCCATGGGCCACATCCAGCCTGCAGGACTGTCCTGCCCGGCCCCTGAGTTCCCGGTCAGGGAGGTTAACCCCTGGCCCCTCCATTGCTGTCCCCTCTCCCCCACAGCCATGCTGCCGTGCGGGGAGTACTCTGGCCCGCCGCTCCTGCCGGGCTGCGTGGCTTGCACCTGCCCACCTCCCAGGCTTTCCAATAAGCCAGTCCTGCTGCTCTGAGCGTTATGGTAAGGGGGCGGGGAGCGGGGGGGTTGGATAAGGGGCAGGAGGTTCTGGGGGGCAGTCAGGGGACAGGGAGCAGGGGGCAGTTGGATGGGGTGGAGGTTCTGGGGGGTGTCAGGGGATGGGGGGTTGGATAGGCATGGGAGTCCCATGGGGCCTGTCAGGGGGCAGGGGTGTGGATAGGGGTCAGGACAGTCAGGGAACAGGGAGCGGGGGTGGTGGTGGATAGGGGGCGGGGTCCCAGGGGGGCAGTCCCGGGAGGGGGCGGTCAGGGGATAAGGAGCAGTGGGGTTTGGATGGGTTGGTGGCTCTGAGGGGGGCCATCAGGGGGTGGGAAGTGGGAGGGGGCGGATAGGGGGCGGGGGCCAGGCTGTTTGGGGAGGCACAACCTTACTTACCTGGCCCTCCATACAGTTTCACAAACCCGGTGTGGCCCTGGGGCCAAAAGCTTTGCCCACCCCTGGGTTAGACAAACATCTATCAGGGATTATCTAGGTTTACTTGATCCTGCCTCAGCATAGGGGACTGGACTAAATAACCTCTTGAGGTTCCTTCCAGTCCTACATTTCTATGATCCTACAAAAGTAGGGTGTCCCACAAAATAAGGACTAAATAAGGACTCAAATAAGGACTAAATGGAATAGAAAGGCCTTTCACAGAGTCCTAATAGAACTATAATTGGATACTGGGAGATACTCTCATGGAACTGAGATCCCCAGGAGAGACCCCCTGAAACAAAATGACTGTGTCCCCAGCCCAGCTCAGACAGAACCACAAGAAGAAGACCAAGAACAGTCCAAATTATCTCAATTGCCTTGGAGGAGACCAGATTTTAGCTAGCAACTTTATACCTGAATATATAGCATTATTTTACCTCTTTTTTGTCATGTGCAGGTACATGGTTAAAATATTCACAGGCCTGCCAGAATAAAATATTTTCTTCACTAAATTCTTTCCGTAGAAATTCCTAGGAGAAAAAAATAAGCATATAAAACACATGTCACAAAATAAAGACAAGTTGCTTACATTTTAAAACAACATATTTATAGGGGGAGAAGAGGGGAGGAGAGGTTTGCATAATGTTGGGATTTTTTTTTAAGTAATGAGAATGTTATTGCTCTCAGAATCAGGCCTTTTTTTAAAATAATTCCTAAATTTAGGATCAGATTTGCCAAACACTGACCCTTTCCATTTATTTAGAACATGTTCAATTTGCAATACTGAATCAAGTTACAATCAACATATTTCAATGTACGAAGACTGTTTAGAACTTTGCATTGTGAAACTGGTTCACAGATTAATGAACAAGATTTTAATAAGTATTTAAATAATTTTTAGTTATACTAAAATAGTTACACTGTAGGGAAGTTGCTTATCTTTAACTGACATTCTAACTGGATACCATGGAGACAGTGAAAATGTTTCCCTAGAGCGCACTTTTTAATCATGTAAGTGGTCCTCACTTATATCCTTTACTAGTTGCTTAAATTGGTATCAGCCTTATTATATTTTTTAAAATTTTTAATTAGAATAAAACCTTTCTGAATATAGCACTTGAGGCTGCCACTTTGCTGAAAAGAGAGGTAATTTGTGACATTAGCAGTGTGAATGCCCAGTAGAAGAGCTTGTGAAACCAATTTCCAACCTGATTTAATAATAATTCTTTATCATAAAAGAATTAATATTTAAATAGTTTAATTCTTAAATATAAACATTTATTTTCGACTTTTAAACCAATATTAAAGCACATCAGAAACTGGTTTACAATCTACTCAATGGTTCCCACACTGAATAATTTTTCAGTAAGACTAATACTGAACTCAGAAAGACTTAAGAGTCATTTAAAACTAAAAAAAAAGTCACTCTTTATACACAAATGCTGAGAACTTTAGGCTGCTAGGCTGAGCAAAATAGAAGCAATGGCAAGAAACGAACATCCAACTAAAGACAGAGCACTTTTTTATATATTAAAAAAGCATTTTACTTTCACCCTCTCCCTCTGGATGGGTTCTTTGTTAATGTGTTCATTAAAGCGTTACTCTATTTAGGATGGAAAGAAGTTCTAGTTTGTGCTTATTTAGCCAGGACATTTTTTCTTTTTATTTCCTAATATCAAACGTATAACACAGAGTTTGTGTATGAAGAGAAGGTTACTCACCCTGTGCAGCAACTGAGGTTCTTTGAAAAGGATGCCCCTATGGGTGCTCCAATTCAGGTGTTGGTGCATCCCTGCGTCTTTGATTGGAGAATTTCAGCAGCAGTGTCCGTCCGGGTTGTGCATGGGCTGTCCCTGTCTCGCGCTGTTATCGGCAACATATAGTTCATGCGACCCAACCCCTCTCAGTTCCTTCTCAGTCTGGAAATTGAACTCCAAAGTAGAGGGGAGGAGAGTGGGTAGTGGAAAACCCCCAAGGACACCCATCTCAAAGAACATAAGTTACTGCATAGGTTGAGTAACCTTCTCTTCTTCTTCTTCTTCTTCGAGGACTGTCCCTGTGGGTGTACCACTTCAGGTGACTGTCGAGCAGTGCCCTACATTGGATGGAAGGGGTTTCAGAATTGCCTATGTAAGTGATAACACTAAGATCTAGCAATGCATCTGATCTTGAACTCTGGTCGATTGTGTAGTGTTTTGTAAACGTGTGTACGGAAGCCCAAGTGGCTGCTCTACATATGTCCAGTAGCTTTTCTAAACAACAAAATCATGAAGTTGAAAGGGATCTGGTAGAGTGAGTTCTGATCCCCGATGGGGGTTGCAGGTTCTTTTGTTGATAACGGAGGTGGATGCACCCAGAAATCCATTTAGATGGTCTCTGTGTAGAGATAGTGGAGCCTTGTAGCCATTTCCCGTAGTGGAAATGAAAAGCCTCCGAGATTTTCTGAAAGGCTTACTTTTGTCAAGGTAGAACGCTAGTGCACGCCTGACATCTAGGGTATGTAATACTGAGTCCTGAATGTTCCATCAGGTTTAGGGAAGAATGGGGAAAGATGGACTGGTTGGTTTACATTGAAGGAGGGAGATTCTTTAGATAGAAATTTTGGGTAGGGTCTTAGTGCGACCTTGTCCTGAAAAAAAGATGGTGTAAGGCGAGTGTGCCAGGAGGGCCCCTAACTCACCCATTCAGCGGGCTGATGGGATAGCCACTAAGAACACCACTTTAATCGATAGATGTATCAGAGAGCATGTTGCTAAGGGTTCAAATGGGGGTCCGGTGAGGCGACGTAACACTAAGTTCAAATCCCAAGGCGGAGTAGGTACATGCACTTCGGGGTAAACATTCTTGATACTCGTAAGGAAATGTTTGGTGCTCGGATGGGCAAATATCAATGTCCCATTGATCTTGTGGTGAAAAACGGTAATAGCCACAAGATGGACCTTGATTGAGCTAATGGAGAGCTCCCTGATGTCTTTAGTCTCAAGATATAGTCGAATATCAAGGGTAGGGGTATGGAAACGGCACTAATATATTTGTTCTGGCACTGTATGTGGAACCTCTTCCCTTTGTGAAAGTAAGTATTGTGCGTGGTTGTCCTTCTACTGTTTAGCAATAGGTCTTTAACCCAGTCCTAACAGGCTAGCTTGTCATGATGGAACCATGTTGGAGCCATGCTTTCAGGTGAAGTCTCTCCAGGTTCGGGTGATGAACCCAGTCGTCATCCTGTGATAGAATGTCTGGCAGAGGTGGAAGAGTGCACGGTGAGCTTACCGCCATCCGCAATAGGTACAAGTACCAAGTCTGTCTGGGCCATGTTGGGATTATCAATATCACTTTGGCATTGTCAGTACGTATTTTGTGTATCACCCTTGATAACAGGGGGATCGGAGGGAACGCATATAACAGGTATGCATCGCATTGGAGGAGGAAGGCATCCCACAGGGATTGCAGCCCCAAACCTGCTCTCGAGCAGAATTGTGGGCATTTGTTGTTCTGGGATGTTGCAAAGAAGTCGATGGATGGGTGACCCCGCAGTGTCTGAATATGTTTTGTAGGACCATGTTATTTAGTTCCCATTCGTGATCCTGGGAAAATTCTCTGCTCAGCATATCCACTGTAGTATTTTGATGACCTGGGAGGTACAAGGCTGAGATAGTATCAGAGGGGTAGCCGTGTTAGTCTGGATCTGTAAAAAGCAACAAAGAGTCCTGTGGCACCTTATAGACTAACAGACGTATTGGAGCATAAGCTTTCGTGAGTGAATACCCACTTTGTCAGATGCATGTAGTGGAAATTTCCAGAGGCAGGTCTCACAAAGAGACCACCTGCCTCAAATAATGTGGTGTTGTAGATGGGCTCCCCAGCCTATCAAGGAGGTATCGGTTGTGATTATTATTGAAGGTGGAGTCTGAGTGAAAGGGACTTCCATGCACACATTGTTGGGTTGTGTCCACTAGCGTAGAGAATCTTTGACTTTGATCAGCATTGCAAGGTGTCTATTTAGGCTGTGTTTGTGTGGTATGTAGATGGTACTTAGCCAGCCCTGAAGATAGTATATGTGAAGATGCACATGTCATACCATAATTGTGGTTGCTGCCATATGTCCTAATAGTTGGAGGCAGGTTCGTGCTGATATGTGAGGAATGTTCAGTGACAAAGAGATAAGGTTGGTTAGAGTGATGAACCTGTTCATTGGTAATGACTCTCTGGCTTCCAGAGACTCAAGATGGGCCCCAATGAAGTCTAACTTCTGTACAGGATTTAGAGTTGATTTTTGTATGTTTTTTTGTAAACGCAGTCTCAGGAAGAGGTTGAGTGTCCTGTGTGTAACGTTGAAGGCATCTGCCTGAGTGGGAGCTTTTAATAGACAATCTTCCAGATAGGGGATTATTATTACACCTTGTTTGCAGAGATGCACTGCCACCTCCGCGAGAATTTTGGAGAACACTCATGGTGCCATCAAGAAACCGAAAGGCAGAACTTTGTATTGGTAATGTTCTGTTCCCAGAGTAAATCTGAGAAACCTCCTGTGAGCAGTGTGTATGGTTATGTGGAAATAGGCATCTTGGAGGTCGAGAGCTGAAAACCAGTCCCCCTGTTCCAGTGCTGGTATTGTTGTTGCTAGTGTGACCATCCGGAACTGTTGGATCCTTATGCATCTGTTGATATTTCTGAGGTCTAGAATAGGTCTCCATCCTCCATTCATTTTCTGGGTTAAGAAGTAGTGGGAATAAAAGCCCTTCCCCCTCTGTGTTGAGCTGGTACTGGCTATACTGCGCCCAGAGGTAACACATGGTTTACTTCCTGCCATAGAAGCTGTTTGTGAGAAAGGTCCATGAAGAAGGATGGGGAGAGAGAGTGAGTAGGGGGGGATGGAGAAGAATGGTATTGCATAGCCTGTATGGATTATTTCAAGGACCCTTTTGTCTGTGGTGATGGAAATCCACGCTGAATAGAAAGGAGTCAAACAGTGGCCAAAACGGGGGATGGACGTTGGCATGGTGGGTGGGGGAGGTTGCTCGGACCCTCAACCAAATCCTCAAAATTGTTGTTTAGCAGAGGACGGCTGAGATATAGATGATTGAGGCAGAGGTGGTCGACGCCTCAAAGGTCTCTGCCTGTTGCTGTGTCTCTGTTGAGCGTATGGGGCGATCCTGTGTGCTGGTAGGGAGAATATGTACCCTGTTCTCTTTTGATTTCAGGTGTGTATATCCCCAAGGTGCAGAGAGTTGCCCAAGAGTCCTTCAGGGTGTGGAGGGCTTTGTCTGTCTTTGAGGCAAACAGTTTCTGGCCATCAAAGAGGAGGTCCTCCACTGCAGACTATACTTCCCTGGGGAAACCGGACAAATGAAGCCACGACACTTGGTGAATAACAATGGCAGTGGCTGTGATCATGCTGCCAGGGCTGCCATATCTAGGGATGCCTGTAGGGAGGTTCTGGCCAGAAGTTGACCCTCAGTTAAGAGGGATTTGAATTCATCCCTTTTATCTTCTGGAATATCATTAATAAATTCTGCAAGTTTGAAGTAGT